CATATTTATATATGCCGGTGTATTAGAGTGCAGTTTGTTTATGAAAAGTTTTGCATGGCTAATAGCACTTACCAATCAATGGTGCAACAGTTTATCAATGATGGATACATTCGTATACGTTCCTTGAATGATTCGCCGATGGGTGAAAATGCTAAAGCGACATGCAATTGTTCACGTACACGGTCTATGAAAAATGCATACATTTCACTTGGCAATGGATCAACAACTTTGCCCTATGGTGTTTTATGTGACGGTAACCAACAACAGGACCAATAAGCAGTCATAGAAACCGCGCAGCAACACACAGCATTAGTTGTAGCGGTAGTCGTGGTAACCATTTGAAATTCCATATGAAATTGATTTGTGCATAATCAGTTATAACGTAATTCCGTTTATTCATGAAAGCGCCGTATTTTAGTCAAGTTATATAACGAAATATAAATATATATATATATATATATATATATATATAGATTATATGTATATATCAGCAGCAAACAATCATCGCAGAATATGGATGATTCGTAGCAATGCCGCATTATTTTGTAAAGTATAAAGTATAAAAGGAATATAATCCATAATTCAATATAGTATGTAGGAATGCGTGTGCGGGCATGCAACCGGAAATAGAGTAAATTGAATGTTAGCTACAAGTTTAATAAGAATTTGATTTTTTTTATTTTTTTTATTTTGGTTTGTTCTTGTTTTCAAGTTTCATTTTCCATTCGATGTACCTTTGCGTACATGTAATATATATATATGTAGGTATGTGCGGGGATTATTATTAGTTATTATTGACAGGCAAGTATATTTTGAAAGAGTATTAAGAACGTAATGATTACTTTACATACCAATTGTCTGGCAACGGAAGTCATGTTTTCCATAATGGCCGCTTTATCTTCCAGCTGATACAAATTGGGTAAATCACCACAGTTTAGTATGCCATTGATATCCTCAACGTAAGCTTCATCTGTGGCCTGTAAGAGATTTATAAAAACAAATTAAAATTTCTATTTGCTTTGAATCTAAGACTGTTTTATGGTATATCTTGGCTGGCTACTGCCACTGCTAAATTAGACGGTACAAGAATTTACAAAAACGCTTAATCACAATCCTATGCAGCAGGCAGTATATAAAAGATAGAGAGAGGACTGCTAAACTTAAGGGAATCTTTTTAACAATAAAATTCTCCAAAAACCACCTGCTACAGGTTTAAAACTCACCATAAAACTACAATTAAACTCGTCGCTTCCATTTTTTATTGTTTCTGCCGCTACTGCATTAATCATCATGGACGACGATTCCCTACCAGATTATCATAGGTCTGTGCGTGTATATGCAAACATTTATTCAACAAAGACAAATCAGATTAAGTTACAACTACAATATACAGTCAATGACGTAAGTGCACGCTCACCCATGACTCTCTCAATATTGAGATGAATTTTAAAATAAAATCAAAATTGAAATTCGCCTTTAGGCAAACACACACCAGCACATATCAATAAAAAGACAAAAAAAAAAAAACAAAAACATTTAAATCAAAAATAAAATTAAAGGGAATTAGCCCCATGGGCTTCTGTGGTGTATTCGAAAAGCCGCAAATGCATGAATGACGGAGATGACATTAGATTGCATTAAGAGAAACTATTATAAGTAAGAGATGCAAAAGGGGATCAGCAACTGGCAACGGGACGAAGTGATAGGTCAGGGAAAGACCTTACAGTAGTAAACGCCTTAAACGTAGTCGAACGTGTGGTTAAAATTTACGTAATATTGGTATCATAACGTTTTGCGCGGCGGTATAACATTTTTCATCACTAGCGACGTACGTATTGTTTCGGTTTTCGTTTTAGTCTTCATCGCGTAGGTAACCATCCGAAATCCAAAAATGTTCATTATTTATTTTCATCAGTGAAGAGTTGCCTTTTCAAAAGCTCCATTTCGTCTTACGTATGAACATTTACGGATTGAAATGTATGTACTCTTACGCGTTGAACTGTAAAGTTTATAGCTGTGCCACAATGATCTTATGGACACAATGCGTACGTATCTACGTAGAATGAAATGAAAATGACGAGGGCAATCAGTTTAAGATTTATAAATGAAATTAGTTTTCTCTTTCCCTCGCTCTTTATGTCCACTTTTATCTTTCTCGTTCATCATTTCTATTCATGGCAACATCTTTTACTTCTACTTCTATATATAAGCCATCGCAAGATTCTATCCGGCAGTATTTATATGTAATTACATGTAAATATGTAATCAATATTTGAGTGTGGTAGTAAATGTGAACGCTGCCATGGCTCAGAAGAAGCTTCTAAGACGGTGCCGGTAATTGTTTCGATTGTTTGTTTGTGAAAAAAACTTTTTAAATGCGTTTAAACATTTGAGTGTCCGATGAAGATCTTTAAACATCCGTTTGTTGTACGATGACGGAGTCCGTTGCTGATTCTGCTGAGACCATTGCTATTTCCATGTCCAATGCATTTGTGAATTTTGTAAACTGCAAACACGCACACACATATAACTAAGAGGGTTGCTTGCAGTTCGGCAATATGCAGGCAAATGTTGAGCGCTTATGAAATTCCGTAGATAAGATCATATCTGATAAACTAGTCTACGTTTGATACTCTTCTCATGTCTCTTACATAATATATTTATTGATTTTCTGTACTTAATTTGCTATTGTCTGCAACTTAATTTCATAGATGTCAATATAAAATTTACACACATAAGAGTAGTTGTTACCAGCAGTGAATTATGAAATCATTATAATTGTTACACATTTCATATGCTGCTCATGCATATGCTCATGTGTATGCTATGATTGTATAGGGAAATGTCAATATTTGCCTCCGCTAGTCTGCGCCGGTATCTGTGACCTATATTAATATGATTTGTTTTTTTTCTTTTTTTTTTCCTTCCAATAACTTTCGCAACTGTATCGCTTTAGCAATGCAATGCGGTCTAGTGTTGACTTTAGGCATAGTTTACAACTGAGTTGTGTTCATTATTCTATATTAATACAATTAGTGTACAGTAGTAGTATATATGTAGTCATATATAAAATGTGAAAATTATGTAAATTCATAAATAATTTTCACAATTTTTGATGCAAAATTCCGACTGATCTATAAAAGAGATGAATTTATTATGGGCCTATACTATGAAACAACTTGCATTTTCTGCCTTTAAATAATTGCCCATCTTTACCATATATATATATATATGTATATATATACCATTTCTCAAATTTCTTATATATACATTTATATATATTTATATTTATAGTGTTCGACTGCGATAAGCCCGATTAGATAAAGATGGATATCGGACGAGAAAGAAAGAAAGTTGTATTTACCGGTCGGAGTTAATTGGGAGTCGAATGATTCATTTCGGCTCAAATTTTACACCAGTGCATACCTAAGCATGCAAATTGCTCTCAACTATTTTCATGGGCCGTGTACCGATTTCGGTACAGTCAATATTTTGATTTTTGTATGTAATTATAAATAATGCCGTCGTTATTTTAATTAAAAACTTTGAACTAGTCGTAGAAAGGAGCCTTCGTTTGTACTGAAAACGTTACACATGCCAGGGAAGATGTTAATATCAGTTCATTGACCTCTTATGAGCAGAAATTCCGTTATAACTTGAAATTTCCTTTTTTTCATGGGCGCTTAATTTGTTGACTGCAATGAGAAATATGTGTATCGTCATGTTTTAGTTTCGGCGCGATAAGAGGGAAACGCCTTTTTCCAAGGAAGCGTGGTAGCATGAACGCTGAAAAGCTGATGCTCTTTGCAATGTAGGATCTCATATAAGCGGCAATAAAAGAGATCCGTGTAGTAATGGCTTATTAAAGCTAAGTTTACAGTTTTCGTCGTCTACGGATGTATGAAAAGACAGCGCATTGATCACTGTCCTATATTTTCAAACAGATTACAACTGAGTGTGGTTTTCCGAAAATACTTTCGAATGAGTCCACCAAATTAATAAATACATCAGCAATTTTGTGGACAATCAAAAGTGGTGAAGGTGGCAAGGTTGTATTTGCACCTACGTGAACCACGAACGTAGACCAAATAATATTTTACTACTTAAGATTACCTCCTTTCTCTCTAAAGGTTGCCAATAAGCACTATTTCCGTAATTATTTCCGATAAGAATGATTAATGCAATTTAGTAAACATCGGCACTTGATGAAATATTATTTTGCATTTTTTTTTAAAATTTTTTTTTTTCTTTTTGATATTTATTGCAATCGACTTCTTTTTAATTTAATTAACTTTGAAATCATAATGCACTTCAATAATGAATATCATTAAGTTTGCCAATGGATTGGTTGTTTTGGCTTTTTCATTATTAAGCCACAATGAATAATATTGACAGAAAATTTATAAACATAACTTGAATATTCTATTATGTAGAGGGAATGCACGAGGCAATAATCGTTGAATAAGTTCTTGCTTTGACAATGTATACGAAGGGTTCATGTACACAATACGCTTGAATCTGCAGCTTGCCTTTATAACATTTATTCATTGAAATTGTAATTAATTACTAATGGAAATTGGTAAAATTTTGTAATACATTGCATATATATGACCACGCATATTATGTAAGTATATGCAAGGAAATTTCAAATTGTTGGCCAACCACACACTCGTACACAGGCAAATAAATGTATAGTGCATTCAAGTTATATATGTGCATAAATTTCTATTGAATATTTGATGATGCCTTAACCCAGCACAGGTGACCAATATAACTAGTGAAATGAAATTAATAGGAATGCATGTAAATGAAAAATATCGAACTAACTAACTAACAATACGGAACAAATTCATTATAATATTATATAGATGGAAAATCAATATTGCAATAAATCTTTATTAAATTTATGGTCAGAAAGGACGATGCAAGCAAGTAAAAGTTAAGGTTGATAGGCAACCATATGGGCCATATACTTCGGATAAGGTCCGTTGTTTAAGCCGATATTATTGCAGCAACCAGAACCCAAAGATAGAATAATAGGTCACAGAAACGATCTTTGACACGATTTAAGAGCTAATTGTTAGCAATTTCGTATACGCGTAACAAATTACTTCAAGCTTGAGGAGTTGTGGCGGGCTTGTGCAATCTGTGCAGCAGGCCAAGAAAACGTCGGCTTTTGACCATTTTTTCAGGATCGAAAGAAAGGCAACAGAATAACGATATTCCTTGGGATTATTAAGCATACATCATTTAAGTATTGAAAGAAGAGATGATTTTTGAAATATTGATTGCATTTAAAAAGCTGGCAACAACTTTGCTACTTTTGTACGAAATTTATGTTTAAGGGATTCCGCGACCCAGAGTGTGACTGACTCAAATTGATTGAAAAAGTTAAACTTTTCCGCAAGAAAAGGCATTATTTTATTAACATATAATGTTTAAATTAATGAATCGGAAAAATCCTATACGTTTTTCTGTGGCTAACGTTATTTTAGCGATATTCCGAAATCCTCGGATACGGAGAATAAAATTTATAGGACCTTTGCTATACAGCCCCTTTCGAAAAATCGTGTTTCAACAAAAAGGAGAACACACGAGTTTCATAATGCGTTATGCATGCATATGCTTCTTTAACACAACAATTTTTGCTATCTTTTCATTTATCTGACCTGTCATGTCAAAATATGCTTATCTTGTTCTCTTCTCTCGAAGATTTTACGCTACGGCGTGTCGCTTGTCCTACATCTGTCGAATATCGAATCACACGTTTCGTCACTTCACGTGCTACTAAACAAAAAGAAAAAAAATGCGCAACTCTATGATCGAATTCATAATTGATAAGAAAAACGTCATCAAGCACTTTATACTTCCTTAGCCGAAGCATTGCTTTCTGTCGAATCGGTTTCAGTAAAGCCCATTGTTGTTGGAAAATGCTTTGAAATGAAGAGAACCACATTTTAAAGGCAACTGCTAGTGCATTTGGGGAAATTAGAAAGCAATTGATAAGCCGTTGCGCTGCAACTGCCCACCGCCTTTTCGGTGCGCTCGATGGGAAAGCGAAAAATATCAAGAAAAAAAGATTTCGTTCACGTAAGAAGTTTTCCTCAATGCATTCTAGAAGAGTGAGAGAGGTTCACAGAAGCTATTAAATTATTAAAAAGAGCTTTCGGTTTTTATACCCAAATTTAATTTTTTCTATATATATGGCGAAGGCGAGTAATTGGAGGACACTTGCTGGTATGACAAATTCAGAACATAACAAAAGATATTATGTTTTTTTTCGATAGGTTTTAGCGGATCCTTTAAGACTTGTCGCAAATCTGTGATTACGTAGTGTCTTAGAGAATTTTTGTAACTGGATTTTTACACTGCCGCCTTTCAGCGTTTGTGCGGTACTTCTGGACGGCACTTAGTAGTTTTGTGATCCTTTGTCTGTTTGCTTTATATGGTGCATGGTTCCTAATATTTTTGAATTTTAATATTTATTATACCCATCGCTATAAGATGGGGAATCCTATAAACTATGTATATTCTTGATCAGCGTGAAATTTTGAATTGATTTAGCCATGTTTGTCCGTCCGTATCGTTTTTGATGTTGCCATTTTTCTTATCGTAAATATGAAAGTATTGACTACATATTTGGCGGAAATATTGGAAGACTTTGCACGCAGGTTGGTGTTGAAAATGGGCCAAATTGGTCGGAGCAGAAGCCCGCACGCACACATTTACTCTATGAAACACTTTTTCACTTTTTTGAGGCATTATGCTTACTTATTACCGTAACGCAAACAAGGCAGAATGTGTAACATTATTTTGTAGATTCGTCAAATGAAGACCTATTATCTGCCTAGAAATGGGTTAATGGATTTCGTAGATACTGCGATAAATTTTTTCTTTATAATATCAGCGATATGGGTATCAAATAAAAGAACTTGAAGAGTGGAATGCGAAAAGCGTAGTGGTAGGTATGCGAGATTCGTCTCCCGCTGAATATAAATTTTATACTTGTTTCAATTGTCAAGCGTAGATCGATTCAAAAATTGTTTCTAACCCGATTTCCATAATAGTCGATGGGTCAATTTCAAGCCTTTTTGGCTGTTGCATACATTCGCACATATCATAAGTGGCGTAAGATATAAAAATATATAGATATGTATATATTAAGAGTTCGTTAAGTATATTCCCAGAACTGTTTTCAGTTGTTTGTAAAGCGAAAACGATGGTTATTTTAGTTATGTAAATATTAGCCAAGCTTTTATAGTATTTTTTGTTGTTTGTTATTCCTCTTTGCGTTAGTCTGAAACATTCATTAATTAATAATGAACGGATATGCTTTTAATAAGTTTAAGTTTCTTTTTCCGTTTGTGCGTTTTTTCGCACAAGAGATATCGAGGTCGAGTTAATTTTTAATAAAACGCTGAAATGACTCTAAATTGCGTTGATTTTATTCGTCTATTCGTTTACAAACTCGCTTATAGTAGTTAGGTACAACAACATGAAATGTCATTGAATAAAAAAATGGAAGATTTTTGCTTTTTCGCCGAGAGAAGCAATGCGTTTGTGATGTGGCATATATGGTGATGTAAAGCAAAACTCGCTTAGAAATTTTCTCATCCATGATATTAATGCAATGTCCAATTTACTTACTTCTAATAATATTGACTTGCATTTATAATAAGCAGGCTAAACTCTACTTATTTATGCCTGTATTGTTATTGCTTTTTAATGAGTTATCTAATAAAGAAATGTATGTATGTTTTTTATTGCTATGTACACATATATAGTTTGCTTGTATTACTTGTTAATTTTAGAAAATAAACAACTATTTATTACTTTATTCACTTGTTGCTAGCTAGCTATTATTATGTTTGTACGGATGTAACCAACACGTAGGACGATTGCGAGAATTATTCGACTAATTATTATTATTATTATTATTATCATTATCATTATTAGAATTATTACGTATTGTTCTAATAATTCGATTACTATTTTAAAATAATTCATTCAAAATAATTCTCTAAATCTAAATATATCTGACCGTTTGTCGTTTTATATATCTGACGGCTGTCAATGTGCTAGAACTTCAAACTAAAAGTCATCGTTTTTAAATTTGATATCCTAACATGTTTTTTTTTTTTTTTTTTTTTGTGAAACGTCGCTTCGTATGCATTTCGTGCATAGTCTAAATTGAATTTTTGTTCGAGTCGCCACCACTTTTAGGTAATTAAAAAACAGGTCATTTGTCGAACTTAAAACTCTTTACATTTATATGTATTTTCACCTTAATGGCGATGGGTGCGATTTCGTTGATTTACGAATTTTACACGAGCATCTCTGCACTAAAGTGCCTACAATTTGATAAAAAATGAAGAAATTATTGGTTTTGCGTTTCGAATTTAAAACTGGATGGCGATGATGTGTTTTGAGCAAGAGAGAGAAAGAGAGCTGTAACTTGCTAATAGAAGAGAGTTATTCCTATAAGAAAGCAACCTATTCACAAAAAAACAAAAAAAAAAAAAAGAAGAAATACCGATTCTAGCTTCGCCGATTTCCCAATATATACTTTTAGGCATTTCGACAACAATATATGACACATTTAATATTCCTGCAGTGATGGTAGCAAAATCGAAATCAAAATTTAAATAGTGTTTCTGGCAATTGTTAACCTCGTACTTATTTAATATAATTATCATTATTTAATCTTATTATTTTATATTAGTATTTATTCATATTTTATTTTTATTATATCATTATTATGATTGTTATTAACTATCAATGATGTACTGATATGGGTATTAATTTATGTGAACTATTTTGACTTACTTGGGAATCGGAAAACAAGAAAACTGTATGATTTAAGTTAAAACCGGCTGAGAGTAAGATTTTCTTTAGGTCGTCACGCCAATCTTGCGTTGTATAGGTTTTCGTTACTTGTACGGTCCATAAACGGCAATCAGCTATGTGGGCAGCTAGGCGACAAGAACTGCGACGCCCTGAACCGCCCATACCGACCATTAATACATTACCTCGTGGCATTTGTAATACACGTGAAACGCTAATCGACATTGTGTTATGCTCATATTTAATTACAAATGTCATGTCAAAATTGCGCTTACCGTGATATGTGCTCGATAGCGAAACGAAATAATACTAAATCCATTGGAGAATTCGAGAATGCATTGTAATCCTTTAAATAGTAATGCATTAATTTCTCCAATTTATTGTAACTCATCACTTCATCGTAAATTTTCGGTTCAGCGTCAGGATCAATGTAATTACCAAAAAATAAATTACGTAAATCCATGGCGGTCACTTTTCCACCAGGATTTTCCATACGCTCCTGGAAAGCCTGTTCTAATGAAAAACGTAAACTCGTTTTACAAGCGTACGTAACCATTTCAAGTAATTGGTCACGATCCTTTTCATCAATTAACCTAAAAAAAATTAAAATATTTTCAATATTAATTAATTGATAAAAGAAACGACAAGAAGTTTCTAACTCGAGACATTCGAGTTGCTCGCTCCCAATTTCTCTTTTATAAAAGCGAAAGCATGGAATCCTCATAGCGACATGACTTGCAAACTTAGTACTAAAGTACTGCTTCTCGATTGGAAAAGAAAAATTGAGAATTTTATTTATGCCGTCTGGCGGATCGATCAGGTCAATTTCATATCTTGCAGAAAACAGAATTCCAAATACAAAATTCTCAAGACAAATGACTTTATGGGCAAGCATATATTATTTTATGTAGATATTTTACAAACTATTTATATTTAAATTGCTTTATATATGCAAACATAAATTTATGCGACAAAAATCGTACGATTCCCCTGATTAGGAAGAAGAATTGTGTTCAGTAGTGAAATTTAATGTAAACTTCGGCGCCTTACAGATATATTAATAAGGCACAATCGTATTCTCTCCTTGGTGACCATAACAAAATGTGCTGAATACATTCTTCTATGGTTAATATTATGAATGAGATAACATCTCAAGTGGTCAAGACAAGTCGGCTAAAATGTCGAAATAGGATCGATGAAGGTAAATAACCCGATTCCGAATAAGTTGAACATCTTCAGATGTCGGCTGTTGTAGTTCGTCAGCGCATTCCATTCCAAAAAAAAAAAAAAAAGATTAGAGAGAGAGAGAATCACGAGAAATCATTGTCGCTATTGTGTATATCATATTTGGATAAATTTTTCGAAAAATATGATAAGCAAAAGATGATCCGAACGCTTGCGTGTAGCGTGTATGAAAAATGATTTTGGCACGTAGTCTCTCGCAGAGATGCCTCACGACGGAGCACCTGGTTGCACCTAGACTTGGTAAAAATTATGGCAGTTTGGATGAAAAGTTGCATCCATAATGTAGGCCGGCGCTTGCTTCGTCTGGTTATCATTTCTTTTGTTCTCTATATACATCTCTCTTAATGGTGCATGGTGGTTGATTTGTAAAGAGACCTATGAAAATCGTTTAACCATTGACTTTTCGACTCAAACATCCCGGAAGTCCTATAATGATGACATAGAGATGGGGAAAGAGCTATTAACCAAAATGTTATATATTGGCATTGATAATATTCGCTTAAAATATGATGATGATGCGGTTGGGTAAAGGAACGCTACAAACTTTTTTGTTATTTTTTGTTATTTCGATACTCCTCACAATAATCAATTCAAACAAATCAGATGTGTAAGCAGTGTATTTACCGTACGACATGGACATTAAATTGTGTTAAATAAATATATATGCACATGAATATATATATGTATACGGACATGCATGTATATATGCGAGCGCACGTCCGTGGATTTCCTAGACATATCCCCTGCTTGACTAAATGCATGATGACCTTTCCTTAACTAATCTAATCGTTGTTTCGGCAATTTTTTTCAATTTAGTTTTGTAACATTTAAGTGTAGTTGATTATTTACTAAATATTTAAAGATCACTTCTTTTTTTTTGTTTTTTTTTTTTTTATTTCTTTTAATGATTCTTTATTTATGCTACTATTAAATACCAGACATCGCGACCACAAATAATCGCACGCGTACATATGTAAAATTAAAAGCTTTTGTGTTGTCTCTGATCTTTACGGGTATAATTTTTTTCTCGCTTTACTTGAACTATGAACCTGAACAGTATATGCATAGTATGTGGAGAGCACAAAATAATGAAATACACATAAAAACCGAATAATTCAAATAGTTATCGGTAACGGTGCCTGTTTTTGCCTTTTACGAGATTTTAATACCTCAATTATGTAACAACAATTAAAACCGGGCGGGCAAAAAAATAATAATAATAATATAATAATACCCTTTATCTGCCAGTTAACAACAACAGCAGCAACTACCCATATAGCCGTAGCACTAAGAGCAATAAGAACGATGATATTAAATGTAACCATAAAAAATAACAATTCATTGGATAAAATACACAAAGCTGCTCGTGGATACATAAATGCATGTACATATCTATATATATCCCTACATGCACACATACATATATACATATATATATATATATATATATATATATACATATATATATACGCCCGCACACACACACACAAATACATCGAAGCATATATACATATGTACACACATAAATAATCTGGAAGCATAAAACTACCTATTGTCTGTTTTTCATTGACTGTAGACATATACACATATAAAAATTGTTATCACACACACTCGCGTATATACTTGTATACTTGCGTATGTATGATATATGTAGAAATATATGAATGTTTATTTGTACATTTATATGCAAACATGTGTGTATATATACATATGTAAATATATATGTGTTTGTAAGCATTCTGCCTTATATCTATGAAAATATATATTGCACATACATACCGGTCGTAAAAAACACGATATATTTCATGGGCCCAGAGACGGCCTAATTTTTCTGGATCGTTTAAACGTTTCGGTGGCACCATAACAATGCCCTGAAAAACACGAGTAATGTCACGTAGCGAAAACGTATAATGCGATTTAGCCGGAGTTGGCAGGAATACGCTCATAGACGAACGATAAACACTGACCATGGCTTCAGCCAAACCCTGAAACACAAGAGACAAGGTAAAGTAGAAGAAGAAGAAGAAAAAAAAAAAAAAAAAACAGGCATCAAGAAAATAAAAACAAAAAAAGAAAAATAGAAAAAAAGATAGGAAGAGAGGCAATAAAAACCAAGAGATAAATTCATTCATTTCTGTTCTTTGTTCTTTTTCTCGGTTTGTTCTCTGTTTTTTTTTTATTTTTTTTTATTTATTTTGATTTTTCATTTTTTTTTTATTTTAGAAAGTGTAATCAACGGCTGAAAAGGATAGCTGATGTGGTGGTGAGTATGTGGCAGAATGATAACAATACCGTCTCCATGTAACAAATGCACAATGATGCCTATACTTGACAATTTAAATTGAGTTATAAAATGCACAATTTTAATTTTATCAGTGTATACGTTTATGCTTATTTGAGTGCAAGTGTATACGTATGTTGGTGTGCATTTGCATGATTGTATGTGACACGATTACTTAGAGGCGATGCTGATTGTAACTGTAACCGAGTTTGTCATTTATGTAAAATTATATGGACAAACTACTAAATACACACACACACATACACATACATACACACAAAAACACAGACACGCAGACACACAGACACACACAAACGTATGCGAATATATATACAAATGTTTTATATAAATTTAATATACGTTTTATATATATTTACATATATATAACGCAACGCCTATTTGTCTGTTCAATGAATTGCCTTTATATCTGTGGAGGTAAAATGTATCCATTTGTTCGCGCGTGTGAATATGATTGCCTATTGTTGTTGTACATACCCGTGATAGCAATGCCACCTTCTCAGCGTAGCCTTTGGCAAAATGCCAATCACCGATAGTAGTAAATATTTTGATTATAGTTGAATCCTCGAATGAATCAACTGCCACCACAAAGGTATGATGATACAAACGTGGGAATATGAAATTACTGCCGCCCGGTATACCCATTGCACCCATAAAACTCTAAATATTCACGATACAAGAAGAAGAAATAAATCGAAAATAAAAATAATATAAATAATAATCATATGTATATGGATTCGTGTCCTTGAGACACGAGAAACATTTCTTCATTCATTTTCAAGTAAACGAATGACTCAACTTTAATCTATGTAGTACCATACATACATGTAAATACATATATTGTACAAATGTGCCCAATATTCTGTGATAAGTTAAATCAGTTTATAATTAATTTATGAATTTTCTTAATACTTAATGACTCTAGTGAAAAAAAAATCAAAAGAGAAATTTTTTACAAAATTATTTCTTACTATGCACTGCAAAGCATGTATTACATATAGCCGTGAACGTGTAAATAGGATTGGAGCTGATGTAAGCAAAAACTATTTTATTCCATAGTATTCGCCTTTAAATTTACCGTTATCTTTTCGTTTTTTCTCATTGCGCTAGTAATTTGGCTTTTTAAAGCATATATTAGCGAACCAAATTGTACGGTACGCACTATAAATGTGATTGGCTTTCGCAAAAAAATATCAAGCGTGTAGTATGAAGCCCTTTTATAGTTCCATTAAAGCCTAATGGAAGTTTACGAAAGTGAATATTTCTGGTTTGTAGACACCCCTGAGGTTTGTTTTGGTAGCCGAATAGGTCAGAATCCCGATTACCAAGGCCGTGTTACCGATTAGGCCTACATGCACTAGCTTGCGAGCCATCAGCTTCCTACATGTAAAAGAAAAGTGTATGGCTGTATATTGTTCTTGTTCTTTCGTCTACTATCTTTCGGATAGTTCGGATTAAAGACCTGATTGGCGTAACAGAAAGCCCTATATACACGCTTGCCGATGACAGCACTTTGTGCTACTCTTTCTCACTCTTCTCTCGACAGGTGGCCATGCAATACCGATCTACACAATAAACGTACGCACGCGGGACGAGAGACACACTTAATAGAGCCCTCATAAAATTATTGGCATGGGGTCAGACATATAAGCAATACCTTAACGCCACCAAAGTCCAAGATTGCCTCTTTACGCGCAGGAAGAATTGGGAAACAAAAACATTCTGCTTTGGCGGTGTCAATGTAGAAAAAACGGTGGCATTGTGGTCACAAAAATACAAAATGACATCTGTTGGACAAGACATGCGTTTCAAGTGTCGAAACATGCCAACAAGAGTAAGTTGTTTAAAGCGCTATAAAAAGTATTACGTTTCAACTGACATTCGCGGTAGTACATAAGAATACAATTCTTGTGTGTGGGTGGGCGCCTGGACGCTCTTCTCACGTACAGTGCGGATCTTACATGGGCTCATGTGCGATAAGGGTGTACCCAAAACTTTTGATGCTCTTCAGCATCGGCTTAGTAAGAGTTGTATTGTGCTTATGAATAGATATATACAGGGCCAGTGTTCTAAAGCGATAAAAGAATTTTGTTCACCAATCAAGTCTTTTATCAGGACTACCTGGCTCTCTCAGCGTTCCGTGTCACTCGTTCTGATTATGTCCACATACCACGACTTGCCGTTCCTCAAACAGAACCCACGCCTTTCGAACAGCATATCAGAAGTAGTCTTTTACACCTCCTTTCTAGATGGGCTACATAAAAGCGAATCGTTATCGCGCCAAAAAAATATTTTTTAAGAAACTTTTTGTAATATTTCTAATATATATATATATATATATATTTGTTAATTTTTATTTAACTTAATTGACTGCCATACTAATATATGAGCAGCCTTCACCTCTGTAAAATTTATTTAAGTAAAATAAATATTTTCGGAAATTTCACACCAACTAATTTTACACTAACATAATTGTCTGCATGAGCATTTTACACTGGAACGCCAACTTTTAAAGTGGCGCCGGTGTAGCGCATTAGTATTACTCGATATACTATGCTGGCTGCGTTTACAAAAATCTCTTAATACTTTTCTCCCAAATTAATGCTTATTTACATACATACGTATATATATACACATTTATGAGTTTAATTACTGGTAATTATATCTCATTTTTGAAGTATTTGCACTTTGTACTTTTTGTACTTGAACTGTGTAATATCCCACAATTTTCGCTCTTGCTCTTGCTTGACTTAACACTAGCCCGCGTACCATATATAAATACATACATACATGTGTACATACATTTAGTGGCTGATTGGAGACTGAAATCATTGATTCGATGGATTTGTTTTTCCTGGAAATGGGCATTTTTTTTACAGAAATATTGGAAGCGAAACTGCTCGACTTTCAAGATGGCGTTTTTCGCACATTTAATCTTAAGTGCCGATAATTGACGATAGTTTATGTTAACTATGACTCGCGTCTAAGCTTTGAGATCGTCAAGATCTCAACAGACACACGTATTCCAGGCATAAATATTTATTTACTTTTTATTGTCTAATTTGGATTTACAGGCTGCCGGAAAACTTAAATCGTGTCCTCTTCGAAATTGTTTTATTTAAGCTTACGAACACGCCTATTTGTTAACAAAATACGGGACATTGTCTTGCTCAACATCCTAATTAGATGTGAATAAGCTTTCAACGAAAATATTCATTTGATATGCAAAACATTTCTGCTTTCATTTATATTTATATTCGCACGTTGAACGATAAGGGTGTGTGCTGCGGACCAAAAGGTTTAATTTTCCCGCTTTTCTTTGGAAAAAAAAAAAAAAATTAATAAAAACTTACGTTAATCAATTGCACAATGCCACCGTTATTCCAACGAACACACCATTATTTCGAATATTATTTTATTACACCCGATGTCTGGCGGCGATTGAAATTGAAATTTGATCACCATTGGCTAACTGAGCTGCAAACTTGTGAAGGAGATTTTTCATCAGGCACTCAATGATGGATTTCAATAATCATGGATCAACCGGAGTTGAAGGTCATCTTCCTTACGGTTGTATGGCGGTCTATGTACCACCGTGATTGAAATAATGATCCAATTTCGAGGGAGTATTGCACACTGTGAGCATTCAATGACTTATTCACCGCTCGTGTGCAACGTTTTTATTATGCAGCGTTGGATACTGAATTTTTGAGGCAGTTTTTCGTTTTAGGACAGAATTGTGCTTGCAAGCTTTTGGAGAGGAGCGGCAATGAGATAAGCTTGGCTGTGCGAAAAACCGCCATTTAAATTAAATTAAATTTTCTCCACTAAAACTATTGTACGGACACTTGTCACTCAACGTATATATATTGCAGATGGTCGCGGATCGAAAGCGTGTCTTTGAAAGTCTGAAAGTCTTTAAGCGAAAATATTGTTCCTCCCGAAAATTACTTTTGCTTCCGTCGAAAGACGGCGAAACGTTTCCACATGTCGGACATTCCCGATTGAAATGAACATTCGGCGAGACTGATAAGTGTCGCGGTGTACTCAAAAAGAAAAACTTGACCTTTTATTTTTTTAGATATGTTATACATACATATATTTATGTATTCATCAACATGTGCCTTGGGTTGATAATGATAATGATAATGATAATATCAACGTACATATACGTTGAGAAAATGGGTATAAATATACCGCAAAAAAAAAAATAAATTTGAAAATCGTATCTACGTAGCCCACAAAATTTAAAGTCTCTTTTTTTCGAACGCACCTCGTATGCAGTTTTTTATTCAACATATATTTATGTCCATTAACTGGTTTTATTGCTTATCTTAGCATTAGTCTTTGAAAATATTATCAAGAGAGTTGTCTGTCTTTATCAAAAGTTTCTGCGATCAATACCGTAAATTAAATCGGAAAGAGTTAGAAAGAATGTTTTGATATTTTATATAAATCCTAGAGCTTGGGGCTTGAAACTCTTTTTAATTGTTTCATACACAATGACCATAACAACATGTTGTCTTGCATAGCGTAAATTTACGTTGTATCTATTGCCGTTACTCAATATCACATTTGCTCATGTATTTTGATTCGTATCGTCGTCCGTATTTAAAAGTCGTTAAAAGTTTACAATTTTTTCTTTTTGTTCGACTTCCTAATAGATTTCTGTATTTTCGAGATTTTGTCATGTTGTCATGTTTCCTTTGTAACAATGTTTTGCTGTAGGTACGTAGCAGAATACTAAACTTTTCCAAACTTTTTCACTATCAATCTATCAATACTTGCAACTATATATTAATGTAAAGTGTGTAGATGCCTGAAAGGGCAGTACACAGTCCAGAGCTGATAGCGAAAAGTTAAAGAGAACGAAACACAATGAAACAAGAATCAGTCATTAAGTCGAAGTCGTCGAGGCAAACTGTAAAGTCGTAAAGTCGTTAAACCATTTCTACTTACTCTTAATAATTAGATCTTTCTATTAAATTAATTTTAAGCTTGAATAACGTTTCAGTAAGCATTAGTGTATAACATCTTCAATTACTATAATCAAGATATTCTAACTGTTAACAGTTTTAAGATGCATATGCCGGAAGCAGATACGGAAAATGATATAATCAATTAAAAAGACACGCACGGTCTAAAAATAGACGCTTGGTTTATCATACCTACCGATCGATCCATTTCGAGAATCAGTTTCTAAGCCGATATAAGAGGTTATCTAGTTCGTGCGAGGACCGCCCATGTATTCTATAGGTCGCAAATTTTGAGACATTTTGACGAATCTTGATGCACTGACTGACTTTTGGTATCCAAAATAAATGCAGAGAATCGAATCAAGTTATTTCTGGCCACCGTCTCATATAAAAGTCCTTTTTAAGTCCCTAAAGTAATCTTTCATATGACAAGAAAGTCAGAGTTTTAGGATTTTATGGTGAAAATTTGTTTAGAAGATCGACTTGGCATATATGTAAGCTTGCTGTGATATGCTTCAACAAACATAGGTCAAACGTCAGGCGCCTTCTCACAATTATGCTATTAAAAAATGGAACTGCTTACGAAAATACATAATAAGTAATAATAAGCTTTCGTCAAACAACGAAATTTCACCAAAATTTGGATCAGGGGTGTTCAGGTTTTGCGATGCTTCATAAATAGGTCTGCTCCATGCGAAGAAGTAACGCAAAGTCTTTATTTTATTTATTTATTTTTTTTTCATTTTCTGACGGAAATAACTGAGGTAGGGATTATATTAAGCAAAGTAGTGTAAGGTATTTATAATTGGCGAACTTGCATCACTATAATGCTTTGTTTTTGTGCAATTAAGAGAAACTATAACAGTGCATAAGATTTTTAAGGATATTTTCCGTTTGTTTACGCGTACGCTACACATTCCAAAATGAAAATAATTTTAAATCGTTAAGCAGTAGATGGAAACAAATGTGTGCGTATATGTGCACGCGCGAACTTATTCGACACACATGCTGACTTGCGATATATATGTATTGATAACAAGGACATCTACAATCGTTCAGTCAGAGCGGTTAAAAAGAAAATAATAGATAACGAAAGCGTCCACTACAAATAAACCTAAACTAGAATACAAGTCGTCGAAAAAAATAGGTTTAATAATATTTTTAAAAATGATTTCCAGCACAGGTCTCGATATCGGTTGCGCGAAATTTCGCTGTTAATTATAGTTCACATAGGCGAAGTTCAGTTTTCAACTCACTCTGCGCTACATAAATTATTAAAAAAAAAAATGCATATTCATGCTCGGGAAGAACATTACATTATTAGGTCATATGTCTTGACTTATCAGTTATAACTATGAACATTTATCGCGGATGTATGATAATGATTATGAAAATGAACATATGAATATATGAACTATGCAAACTAACGTGCGAGTAGTATTTACTTTTGATATTTACTTGATATTGTAACAGTGATGGCGAATTTCGATGATGCTTAGCTTTAAGAGTATAACAATATTAAGTGTACGGTTCATTATCATTGATGATAAACTTATAAAAAATATTTAAAATAGTTAAGAAATGCTTCAACGAGACACTGTGTGAATATAATATAACATAATATTTAATGGAGTCTTCAGCATTCCGAGAGAGCAGCAATGCAGTTAAGTGCAACGAAATGCAACTTGTTCTGTTATATACCTTGCAACGGAAAATGGATTATATAAAAGAAGAAAAAAGAAGCGGAGGTAATTACATGCCATTACAATGACAGAAATATGTGTTGAATTTTCATCATTTAATTTTTTTGTTCTTAACTAACGTTTGTTATAGGCCTGTTTGCACATAAAATGCATAACTGTTGCGTTACCAATAAGTGTATGTTACTCACTATTTGCGTAATTTGCAGCAAAAAAAAAAAAAAAACCAGAACAATTACACTTCATCATGGTTTCCGTTATATGCATTTTTTCGGAATGTTTATAAATTTTTTTTTTTTTTTTTTTTTTCACCTGGCCACTTTAATTAACTGCAATAGTTCAAAAACTGTCTGTCATCTATATACAAAATGCATTTCATAATAATAATGAATCACGAAACTGTAAAAGGGCCGAAAATTGTTTTTACATAACACGGTACCGTTTAAATTTTCATATATATTTTATATCGTGACGCATAATTAAATAACGAAGGGCCTGGCTTACATATCTCGTTTCTGTTTTTGCCATCAACCCTGTGTATCTGGCTACGAGATCATATCTGGCACTGACACTGGTGTAAATTCCGATTGCAACTAAATGCAATTCATAGGACGTTTATGAAATATAGCAGAGGAAGAGGGTAAACGCTAGGTAACATAACGCATCAGCATGATCGGAAAGATATTACATTTTTATACAATTCCACCTTGCACCTTGGCTATGCTAATAGGACGGTTAACTGAACTTGGATTTATATTCAAGGTTTGCTCACTTTTTGAGAGATTTTGTGAGAATTGGAAGGGCAAGAATTTATTGTTAAGAGTAAATGTTATCATGTGACGTTAGCATCGTTTCGATGTCGAATGCTTGTTCAATTTTAAAATGAAAATAAGCGATTAAAAGTTTTACCATTAAACTTAACCGCCAATCTGTAGTGTATACGAAATATCCATTCCATATCCGCGCTTCACTGAAGATATAACTTATCGCACTTATCCACTTTTTGCTCAATATGAAATAAATATTAACTCGTGCTATAGCATAGCATCGTATGTAAAAGGATTATTTAACAACAGAAAAATTTGATGTGCATGCAAATTAAGTGTTTTTGTAGTGATTTTGCAAACATCATCACGTTCCTCATGAGTTCATAGTGTTATTTGTTTTCCTCGTTTTTGTGTTTTTTTTTGTTTTTTTTTTGTGTTTTTTTTTTACCTACCATATCGACTAATTCAATTTTTGTAGTATCTATTAAATCTGACCAATATCCGTGATCCAACCATTGACGCAATAATTCGAGTGGCGGCTGCGAGCCATAAGTATCTTTGCTGGGCATTGCAACATCATCACAGAATGTTATACACTGAAATGATAATAATAACTAGGGTTAAAAACAAAAAACAAAAACAACAAGCACAAAAAATTTAAATCGTCATTAACATACAGACTGAGAAATACAACGGTTACTATCGTACGGCGTAATGTATGCAATACACGAGAGTAATCTTGAAAAGAAAATGCTGGATGCTTGGCGCGAAGCTTATATAAATCGGAAGAACGCCTCCAGTACAATATACGGCGACGAGGACGGTAGCCTGCTTGAACATTAACGAAACGCAAAGACAATTTCATTTTCTTTGTTCAATAGTTTCAGTGTTCTTCTGCATCGATCACCTGCTTTACGTAATAAAGGCGAATGAGTGGAAGGGAGAGATCTTTCTTAGTAAGAGTTTAGAGTACTGTTAGAAGCTACAATGATATTTGGCGGTGAAAACGCAAATTATTTGCATCAAGATGAAGAGATTATTTTGTGCTAATGAAGACAGGAATCATATGTTTTAAGCAGTATAATGTACATGCTTGCAGGGGTTCTCCGCTCTAATCAGGTAACTGGAGCTCGAACTCGTGGGTGGAATTATTACACCATTGGCTTAATTCCAATGAGACGATAATAACCACAATAATAGATCTAGGGTTTCCGCATTGCGGGTTACGCTTAAGAAATTGAAAATGCGTTAGTGCGGCCAATTAACGTTCGGTTTATTTTGTTTACTGTTCGTCAGGCTGAAAACTTTCCATCTTACCATCGTAAATATTTTACATAAAAATCTCATAAAATAAATATTTACATATTTCGATGTGTAATACTTTGGCGTGTTCTACACTTGACTACTGATTAATGACGTTAAGCTCTACACTTAAGCGGTCTTGGTAACGCCGAAAACTCTTGCGTAAGTATTCGAGGTAGGCAGTACAATACGTAACGCAATAATAAAAATCTGTAATATTAAATATTTGCTGGTGATTGGCATATATATGTATATATACATATATATATATATATATATATAAAATTATTTCAATACGTTTGAAGTAGCTTTATACTCAAATCGATAACAACAAAGTTTTCGATTGAATTCAGCGTGCAATTTAAGAAATTACATTTTCAACACTTCGTCTCTACGTAACCGTTTAGGGTTAAGCTAAACTAAATTTTTCATTCACACTGTGATATCCAATCAGAGATTGTGTGAAAAATATGACACATCGTTCAATAATTTACGAGATGACGTCTCAAATAACAAATCCAAGCTATTGCTTTAAAAGTGTCAATCGTCAAGCGGTGCTTACCAAGATATCATGTCACATCAAAATTTCCTTTAAAAGCTAGTACGCCCCGTATGTCCTGTACTCGTGTAACACGGGGATGATCAGAAAACAGCGAGAACAAAGAAAGAGATATGGACTTAGCGGCCGCAGCCTAGTGAGCGTATATCCAACCGGTCAGTGTTATGCGTTTTAAGGACTGTTGGTTTGTTCGGAAAGTGTTATGGTCTGTGATCGTTTGCCCATTTTAAACTTGACTGTCGACATATCGACAATGGATGTCCAGAAAGCATCAAATCAACCTTGAAAATTATTCTTAATAATCGAAAAGTAAAGTTATAATCTGCACTTGACGACGTCCTAAAGGTATCAAAAGAGACAGAGAGGGTGACGCAGAGAGATAGAGAGAAATAGATAGAGAGAAAGGGAGCGAGAAAGAGCTTGGACATGTATAAGAAAATATTTTCCTGATAGGTGTCACACTGAAATAAAAACGTCAAGGTATTACTGATTCGGAGCGCGGAAAAATTTACATGACTTGAATTCCGAGTTCCTACCACATCCAACTCGTTTGTCCAGATATGACCCCTCCAAACTATTTATTTGAAAATTTTTTAAAATGGAATAATATCCAGCGCAAACGCTTTAAACCACATAATCAGGTTATTTGACAGCCTTCACAAATACGGAAGAGGATATTGGCAAATCGTTCAATAAAAATATCATCAAGAAATATTAGTAATGCCTAGGACTAAAATTCATACATAAGGGTCGCAAGGCTCGTTCGATAGCAATCTGTCTTTAAATAGAAAAAACTCGTAACTTGTTCAGCATTTGTAAACTTGTAAGTAAAAATTTGGTCCATCCCTAAAAGTTCACTTCAAAAACACACCTGTTCAGTTAATGGATACCTCAAGCATGCAAATTTTTCAAAATTCATTTATATTGAAAAACTTCTAAGCTTAACATTCACATGCCAGAGTAAATAGTAGTATACAAAAAAAAAAAAAATATATATATATATATATATATATATGTATGAGTTCTAACCTTTTTACCGAGCGGTGGTCCAAACACTCCCTTACGTCTTCTATCCAATTTCGACATTATGGTATCTTGCACCAGTTGAGCACTTGTACGTGCCGAAAAGTTTACAATATTTATTAAATACGATTGCTTTGATAGGCTTAATAAATTGCTGCCAACAATAGCACTTTTGCCTGTTCCTGTCGGTCCTATGACCAACATAGGGTATGATTTATTAATGCAAAATTCCTCCCAATACGTTATATAACCCGATTCATTTGTGGGCACAATTAATTCACTGAGTTGAGCATCATCGGGAAACGTTGTTATAGTAGCGGTAGGGTCATCACCTGATTTTTGCCAAGTCCACCAATTCTCAGCTTCATCGAAACGATAATCCATGAAGGTGAGCTTCTCGGGAAACATTTGACCACGATTCAATGTGAAATACTTCGGGCGGGGGAAATCTTCGTTACCGCCATAAAGTATTTTACGTATTAAAGCATCAAAACGTTTTATGCCTTTAACTGAATGCGGCCAATTGAATATATATAAGAATATGTAAGAAAGTGTAATATATATATACATATATATAAATTGCATTTAGGATGGATTATGCAAATTTCTTACCCATTAAATGTGAACAATAGGCCCAAGCGTAGCAGAATAAAAACATTTGTTGAAACCAAACTTGAGTGAAGACTTTGTGCTTGTCCAGAAAATGATAAAAGAATTTGGAAAACATCTGTGAAGAAAAAAACTTTGAGAATTTTCTATAAACCCAAGATCAATTATTTTATGTGTGTGTCACATTCACTTATGCTATAGAGAATTTCAATAAATCCATGATAGGCCTGCGAATGATAGGATGCAAATTTCTTTCATTTGCTATGAGGAGACAAGCGATATTTTGAAGCTTTCTCGAAACGTTTATGAAGAGGCCTCTTCTGAATTACCAATGTGTATGAAAATGTTTATTAAAAAACAATTTAATCGTGCGAGCATCTAGAGTGCAGACAAGTTAAGCTGCTAGACTTAATAGCCGAGTTCGAATCTTCTTAACTTATGGTTTCTTGCTACACTCAGATGTATTATTGTGTAGAAAAAGCTATGCAATAGTTCTAAGTAGTAAAAAGAAAAATAACCTTATACTGGTAGATAGGTGAAGTTTCCACCATCTTTTTACATTCCGGTAATATAGATAATGCAGCCGGAATAAGCCAATCGATCATCTCTTGAAACAAGGCCATATAAATTTCACTTAAACCGATTTGATCGGTCAGTACATTAACGAAACTTTGATGAAATGCTTTCCATCCTAGTTGAGATGGTTCCATATAAATCATGCCGCAACGTGATACTGTGGCGGGTGAAGCTTGCTCCAAATCGGCCGGTTCAAACATCATATTCATCAGTTTGCTCATTATAATGATTTCGCCTGACATTAAACATAATTTTTTATTATCATCCAGTACAGTATTTAAATTTTCAATCCACACGGCATCAACCGGGCCGTCAAAGAAAATCCAGAAGCGTTCTTTCGGGGAGCCCGTCGCAAATTCACGAAATGTTTTGGCCAGAACACCGTCGTACCATTCATGAGATATGGGATCAAATCGACCGTACAATTGTCCCATAGTTATCGCCTTTGGATTTATAATTCGATAATTTACAGGATATTCGGAGAGAGTGGCATTCTTATCCATATTTACGCAACGCAAGCAATACGCCAAAACCTAAAGAGTAATGCGAAAATTAAATGTGAATATATTTCATTTGCGTTTTCATTTTACCTGCCAGGCAGTAGTTTTCCCACCTAAGGATGCCCCTACAACCATAAGGCCGTGGCGTACCAACAACATTTCATAGATTTGTAAGATTTTCTCCACAAACCAAGGGGTGGCTTGCAAGTTTCGTTCTTCCAATGTCATAAGCAACCATTTCAACAGATCCTCGCGGGACGGCTAGACATTTTTAAAAGCAATCGCAAAATATTTAATAAACATGCATGCCGTAATCCCTGTCGTGTGAGTGTTGCTCTTTGCTCTTTATTACTTTTTGCTTACTGTCGCTTGCGATAAGTAAGCGCCTGTTCGCTTTATTAACTTACCATTGGTAGTTCGGTGCCTGGGAAGAGATCGGTGTAGATGCCAATAAATAGGGAAACATCTTGCTCGAGGAATTTCGGTAGATTCACATCAACAATAGCGCGTAAAACAATTTGCGCCTCAGGCAAATGACTGTACAAGCGACGCAGTGAAGCGGAAGCCAGTAAAACGGATTTTACAGCGCGCATTCCTGTT